AAAAAAAAAAAAAAAAGAATTTGAAAAACAATAAATAGAATTTGGATAATTTATCAAAGAGGACAGCAATTATAGGAAAACCACGGCAAAATTAGTCCTCATTAAATGAAGGGGTAATTTGGTAAAAAGTCGAATTATTCTCCTTGAATATTAAAATAGTATATTTATTAATTTAAAAAAAAAAAAAAAAAAATCTAATTGGCAATGGCAGCTGTAGTAGAGGCATTTAGCCCAATTTATTTCTAATCTCCTATCGTTATCTTTTTCGATTTTTCTCTCGCTCTGATCCTGAGAAATTCGGAACAAGTAGCGATGCAGATCTTTGTCAAAACCCTAACTGGGAAGACGATCACTCTCGAGGTCGAGAGTAGTGATACAATCGATAATGTCAAGGCCAAGATCCAGGTCCTTATTCTCTCATTTCTTTCTCTTACTTCATTTTCTATCGATTCATTTCTGCCGTTACTTCGTCAGCTTTTAATCTTGCTTCAATTTTCTGGCTTTGGTTTCTTTGCTTCTATTTCGCTTCTGCTTTGCCCATGCTTCTTGTTTCTTTCCTCTGATTCATCTTTAGTCTGATTTTCTTGTTTAATCCACCGCTAACATCTTTGTTTCACGACTCACAGATTCCTTCGCGTTTTGGAAGTTATTTCTTCTTTTTATCTCTGTCTTCGTCGGGGGGGAGATGTTATGGAAACTCTGGTTTCTGATCAATTCTCACTAACCTGCGCGTGTTTCGGATTTTGTGTCATTGCATGAACCAATGGAAAGAAAATTAAGAAATTCATGTTTATTATTTCCTTTTGCCTTCTTTTCTACGTTTAGTAGTCAAATTAAGCTGGAGTAGGTTTCCTTTTTTCTGTTTAAAAATTTTATTTTTCATCCCCTCGGACACATTTTCTTTATATTCAAACCATGTAGTATTTTTTCTTTATAGTCTCTAAGTCTATGCAGATTCTTATCGTGTGTTTGTTTATTATATTAACTTCTTCCATGGCGTGATTTCGTTTTCTGGTGTATGTTCATTTTCTTTCTTACGCCACTTTATCAGCAAGCAAATTCTGCAGGCTGTTATGGTCCCAATAAGCGGATGTGGCAATTTGATTCCAGCGTGCTTTTTGGGGAAAAAATAAAAAATAAAAAATCATATTTTGAATTCCGGATTACACTGTCCTTCTAGTTTCAACAGGTGCAATTAGGCAATTTAGTTTAATTGGTTTGTTTATGTGTAGGACAAGGAAGGCATTCCCCCTGACCAGCAGAGATTAATTTTTGCTGGTAAGCAATTGGAAGATGGTCGAACACTTGCAGATTATAACATCCAAAAGGAGTCAACCCTTCACCTGGTCTTGAGGCTCCGAGGAGGTACTATGATTAAGGTCAAGACTCTTACCGGGAAGGAAATTGAGATTGACATTGAGCCAACAGATACAATTGATCGTATCAAGGAGCGTGTCGAGGAGAAGGAGGGGATTCCCCCCGTTCAGCAAAGGTCTGCATTTATCTCCTTCTTCAATTACTAGAACTACAATGACTCAATCTTTCTATTAGCATTTGTATGTGTGAATAGCATGTTTAATCTATTAGCATTTGTATGTGTGATTAGCATCTTCTTCTCCAATTACTAGAACTACAATACATCAGTATGCACTCTCTGTTTATGAATATAATTTGATGTGGGTCCGTCATGCTTAGCACAGGGTTCATTAGTTGTACTTAGAAAAAACAATAAAGTTGCTGGATTTAGATTCCAGCATTTATTTCATACTTGAAATTTTATTTTTAAAATGTCTCGAGATAACACAACTCAAACAGTTTAGCTTTTAAGGACACATCTATTGCTAATTTGAGTAGAGTTCAATGTATTAGATGTCTATTACCCTTTCCTAAGGTTGAAGGATCGATTCCCACCCACATATTTGTTGAGTTC